GTTTGTGAGAAGTCCCCCTAGCTCTCTTCCGAGGACAGGACATAAGGGGGGGGTGCCTTGTTGGGTGACTTGGGCCCCACCACTGAGCTCCAGTTTGAGGGGCTCCCTGACGCGGTAACAGGAGGGAACTCAGAGATGGGGCGACGAGAGGGGGCACCTTTGACTCCATGCCTCTGGAGAGGGCCCAGTCTTGGAAGGGGGTGGTGTGAAGTATCCCAATGACCCTGGGGTAGCATTGGGCCCCTAGGGTACTGGAGGGGCTGGGAGATGGAGGGTTCAGGGCTGTGGCTTTGGGGGATCCTGGTTCAAATCTCAGCCTGTGGTGTTTTCATTGTGTGACCTGAGACCTGCTCGTCACCTCTCTGAGCCTTGGGCTGGTCTCCCGTGGAATGGGTCAGCAGGACAGGACCCGCCTCGCTGGCCTGGTGAGGGCTGTGGGGTGGGTGATGGGCACACAGCGGACGCTTGGTGTGTGTGTGAAGGGGGGGAGGAAGAGGAGCATCGTATTAGCTGCATGGGGAACAGCCTGCCCCCCTTGTCCTTGCTCAGAAGCGGCCACCTTGGCCCGGCCCCCGGCCAACTCTCCTGGTGGGTAGCGGGGTGGAGCGGGCCCTCCAGAGGTACCACTTTCACGGGAACCTGACACTCCTGGGTATGCGGCTTTCACCCCTTCATCTATAAGTCATGCCTGAGTCACATTCCACCCCTGGCTCCCACCGGTCCCCCTCACACCCGACCTGCAGCAGGGCCTGCTCCCTCTTCAGTGCTCCATCCAGGGCCACCTCCTCCAGGAAGTACAACAGGGTTACTCCCCTCAGCACACCCTTACTCTCTGTCCCCAGCCCCTGAGGCTGCACTGTTTCCTCATCGTCCAGCCGGTCAGTACGTGGTCAGTACTCGGGGCTGTTGGTTCAGCTCCATCTGTGGTTCCTTAACAACCACTGGTGACTTGCAGCCGGGTACATGGCAACTAGCTCGTAACCTCGGGCAGGCTCTTTCATTCCAGAATTCGTCTCAGCCACCTGACGCCATCCTCCTTGTGTCCGTCCGTCCCGTCGTCCCCCCCCCCCCGACAGCAGGCTGGATGTCAGTGTCCCAGGATGAGGGTGACAGGCAGGCAGATTTGAGGGCCAGGGCGGTGGACTCTTGAGAAACTGGGCACCCGCCTAGAGTTCAGCTCGTTTTCCAGACCTTTCCCAGGGCCCGTCCTATGCTGCGTGCTGGCTGTCTGAGGGTCTGCAGATCCTGCTGGTTCTATATTCACAGTCTGTCAGACCACTTGGACCGGGGAGAGCTGCAGGGAGGCAGAGGGCAGTACCGTCCCATCAGCAGAGCTGGAGTGGCTGGGCCAAGCCTGGTGGCTTCTGAAAAGGCAAGGTGGTCTGGTGGTCAGTGCTGCACTTGGCACAAGCTCCCTGGTGGCCCTTTGGGCCCTGGGTACTCAGGCTCCTCCCTGCTCTCTGGTCCTCAGGGAGGTGTGGACGCGGGGAGGGGCCCTGGAGGAACACCGGTCCACCTCGTTTTATTGCACCTCACTTGAGACACTTTTTCACAAGCTGAAGTGCTGCGACACCCCTGCATCAAGCAGGCCTGCTGACCTCTTTTCAACAGCGTGTGCGTATATACGTTCCGTCTCTGTGCTGAACTTTGGAATTCTTGCTTTATTTCCACCTTCTTTGTGCTGTTGCACACGGAGATATGTGGCTTTGTGGTAAGGAACGGCACTGCCAACCAAAGGCCTTGCTTCTCCCGTGGATCGAATCCACGCGCAGCTCTGCAGGAGAAAAGAGCCGTTTACGGCCCTGGACACCTAACGGGGTCAGCACTGACCCGGGCCCAGCGTGATGGCCGTGCGTGTTTTGAGTGTACACTTACTGAAGCAGAGGACACTAGTGTGACTCTTCTGTGTGGTCTTGGTGTCGTTACCGTTGAATCAGGACCAATGCAGAGCTGATGTTCCAGCTGATCTTCAGAGGCCTGAATCGCTTGGACGCGCGGGCGGATTTGAACCACCTGCCTTTGGGTTGGCAGCACAAGTGCTGACCCACTGGGCCACTGGAGGTCCCTTTTCTGCGTGTTGAGATCTTTGTGTGGCTTGCTTTATTGCGATGCTGGCTCTCTTGTCGTATTTGATGTATCGCGGTGGATGGAATTCAACTTGTAGTATCTCGAGGTCCACCTCTCACATGGTTGCCTGGATGCCTAGAAGAGTGGCCCCAAGGAGCCCCTGAAGCTGTGTCTTGAGCCCCTCCCAGAGCTGATCCTGGCAAGGTCCCTCCTGCCATCACTCCCTCATTTTCTCTTCCTCCCTCCCTTCCCCCCCCATCCTCCCTCCCTCCCTCCCTTTCCTCCCCCCCTTTCTCCCTCCCTCCCTTCTTTCCCCCCTCCCTCCCTTCTTTCCCCCAGCCTCCTCCTTCCTCTCTCCCTCTCCCTCTCCTTCCCTCCCTCCTTCCCTCCAGTCTCCCCTCCCCTTTCCTCTTTCCCTCCCTCCCTCCAGGCTCCTCCCTCCCTGTCTCCCTCTAGCCTCTTCCTTCTTCCCTCACTCTATCTTTCCCTCCCTCCCTCCAGGCTCCTCCCTCCCTGTCTCCCTCTAGCCTCTTCCTTCTTCCCTCACTCTATCTTTCCCTCCCTCCCTCCAGCCCCCCTCCTTCCCTTCCCCCTTCCCTCCAGTCTCCTCCCACCTTCTCTCCCTCCCTCCTTCCCTTCTCCCTCCCTCCCACTTCCTTCTTGTACTTTGAACCCTAGGAGGCCTCTTTATACACTACCTTTCTCTGGGAGCTGAGACTCACCTGCAGTCATGACACATCTGAGGGCTGCTTCCCTCCTGCGTCTCCCCAGAGGTGTCCCTCACTCTCCTTGCCCTGCAAGGTGCTGGTTCTGGACCCTGGTCTGGCAGGTGCCACCTCCCAGTGACCCGAGCCTGACTTGGTGGGTGGGTAGGCATGGGCTTTCCTGGGCCTTGAGGCAGCCTGGGAGCCAGGTCACCAGGATGGCCAGGGGCAAGGGCAAGATGCCTGTCCATCCCAGGCCTTGGGCACCCATCTCCCTTCTGCAGTGACATCAGAGGTCAGCTATGTGTTAGGCCTGCAATAATTTAATCTGTCTCCATTTTTGTAAAAGCAGCATTTCCCTCTGTTCTCTGAGTAGATTATTTGAAAACTAACAAAATCCCATTTGAGTAAGCAGTCCCCGGTCTAAGCAACGCCAAGGTCCACACATGCCCTTCCTGGATACATTGCACAGCAGGGCTTTTTTTGAACAGCAGCAATTCTACACCAGGAACCTGAGTCCAGGTCTTTACACAGACCTCTCTAGTACTTTTCAGGTTGTTTAACAGACTCCTCCCAAATATTCAGATGCTGGCAGGGTGTAACTGCAGCAGCTTTAGCATGACACCACATGCTGGGGACGTGTGTACCAGCTCAGTCCTCAGCTGTGGGGCAAGGGTGGCAAGGTGCCTTGGTGCTGGCGTGGAACCCTGGAAATGCACCATCTCGGTCCTCAGTTCTGGGGCAGGTGTGACTAGGTGCCTTCTGCAGGGGCTGGTGTGGAACCCTGGAAATGTACCATCTCAGTCCTCAGCTGTGGGGCAAGGGTGGCAAGGTGCCTTGGTGCTGGCGTGGAACCCTGGAAATGCACCATCTCGGTCCTCTGTTCTGGGGCAGGGGTGGTGAGGTGCCTCCCTGGGGGCTGGCGAGGAACCCTGGAAATGCACCATCTCGGCCCTCAGTTCTGG